ATGCTACATCCCTGGAGGTGTTCAAGGCCAGGCTGGATGAGGTTTTGAGCAACCTGGTCTAGTGGGAGGTGTCCCTGTCCATGGCAGGGGGTTGGAACTTGATGATCTTTAAGGTCCTTTCCAACCCAAACCATTCTATGATTCGTAAACTAATCTGAAGTCAAATGAGACATTTGTGTGTAAAACTTTAATCTGTTTTGTTTTACAGGCATCTTTTCTTACAAAGAAGCTAAATATTGGTGGGAAAAGAGTAAACCTTGCAATATGGGTATGTTTACTTTCCTATTTTACCTCTGATAGCTAAATAGAATATTTTATTGAGAAATCACTTAGGTTTACTAGAACTCAAATGTTAGGCCTTTCTTAATAAAGTAAAGTTTCAAAGTATTTGAAGTTTCTTGAAGTATTGTTTGATTTGTCTTAAATGCTAACAAGTGTATTTTAAATGCAGGATACAGCTGGTCAAGAAAGATTTCATGCATTGGGGCCGATCTACTACAGAGATTCTAATGGCGCTATTCTAGTATATGATATAACAGATGAAGACTCTTTTCAAAAGGTACTAGACAGATTTTACCTCTGTGTGAGATGTAAACTGATTGAAAGATAACCTATTATATGATTGTGTAAGTGGGAAGCTCCTGTCTTCAGCAATAGCAATACATATATTAGATCTGCATGTGAGTATATGCCTTATTAATATTCTTTTGAAGGCTGACTTTTCAGTCTACTAAAGTTCTCTGGTGTTCTTTGTATAACCCTGCTAGAATTAGATGTATGAGCTACCTGTGAGAGACTATAAACATAAACCAGTACTGTTGTGATAGCATGCAATACTGATCTCTACTGTATAAACAAAATTACTAAACAATATTAAGTGACATGACCTTTTACAGATTTGAGAACTTTGAAATTGCACTATGTGATAGTGGAAATATACTTAATAATTATTTTACGTCAGTGTTAGTTGATCAGTATGGGCAGGTGAGTTTGTTTCCAACCCTCTGTCAAATCAGTGCTGTCTCTATAGGATGTTCCAGCTGAAAGCTGGTGACACTCTCTCCTAAGTGAGTTTGCCTCCAATTAGCTCCTGCCAAAGCCATAGAATCCTAGAATGGTTTGGGTTGGAAGGAACCTTAAAGATCACCAAGTTCCAACCCCCCTGCGGTGGGCAGGGACACCTTCCACTAGACCAGGTTGCTAAAAGCCTCACAGCGTGGCCTGGCCCCCCTCCAGGGAGGGGCCATCCACAACTTCTCTGGGCAACCTGCTCCAGTGTCTCATCGCACTCGCAGTAAAACATTTCTTCCTAATATCTAATCTAAATCTCTGTCCTCTTTCAGCCTTAAAACCCTTACCCCTCATCCTATCACTACAATCCCTGATGAAGAGTGCCTCCCCCACATTCCTGTAGGCGCTCTTTAAGTACTGGAAGGCTTCTGTGTCCCTGGAACTTTTTCTTCTCCAGGCTGAACAACCCCAACTCTCTCAGCCTGTCCTTGTATGGAAGGTGTTCCAGCCCTCTCATCAGTTTTGTGGCCCTCCTCTGAACTTGCTCCAACAGGTCCATGTCCTTCTTATGTTGGGGGCCCCAGAGCTGGATGCAGTAGTCCAGATATGGGGTCTCACAAGAGCAGAGTGGAGGGGCAGAATCGCTTCCCTTGACCTGCTGGTCACAATTCTTTTGATGCAGCCCAGGATACCATTGGCTTTCTGGGCTGCAGGCGCACATTGCCAGCTCATGTTAACCAGATCTAGTGGAAGGTGTCCCTGCCTGTAGCAGGGGGGTTGGAATTAGATGATCTTTGAGGTCCCTTCCAACCCAAACCATTCTATGATTATGGCATAACTATCTCTGTATCATGTATCCTAACTATTTTTAGGTTCTTGAAGTGATTGCCTCTCTTCATGACTTAAATTCCCTTAAAATAGCAGTCCCTGAGTCAATGTGATGATCGTACAACTTTAAAGCATGACAACAGAATTGATAAGATACCGTCAGCTGACTCGACACTCGTGTCCCATCTGTTCTCTCAGGAAGCAACAATCTAGTATAATCTAACCTAAACAACTCTATTCAGGTACCTCTAAAGTACCATTTATGATCTGTCAGTAAGTGCCTCTTGATGAAAGATCTCATGCGTGACCTAAACTTGCCAACGCAGTGATCTTGTTCTTTGGGGTGTGGCTAACACAAGTGTTGTGAATTATATTTCTGGAGTAATTGTGCTATTTTATCCAAGTCATTTGCTCTTAATTTCAACTGTGAACTAAAACCTGCTGAAGTGTAGCTGTCTAAAGAATATCTTGTCCATCTGTGTTGCTCTAAACATGTTTGTTTCAAGTCTGGGGTAAGCAGTTAATGAAGTAAATGGGTCAGTTCTGCACTGCCTAAGTTAGTAGCATATTGAGTGAAAATAAACTTACCTCTCTTCTTTTTGCAGGTAAAAAACTGGGTTAAAGAATTAAGAAAAATGTTGGGAAACGAAATCTGTTTATGTATAGTAGGTAAGTTTGGTTTTTTAAATGTGATTCTAATGTCTGTATCGGAAATGTTTCTTTTGATTAATAGCATCTTTCACCCAGTTTTGACAGGCTGTACATGTGAAGGGGTAAAGGTTCTGTTAGTTTGATAAATTTAAAATTCAGTTAGAACTAGACGTTTCAGTAGATCACATTGAGGGATATAAGAGTTAGTTTTGAAAAACAATGTGTTTAATGATACACGATGTCAGAAGTGCATGGTACCTGATGCCTGCGGACTGTATTTTAACAAAGAGAAATATGATACACGTATCATAAGGTTTATCCTTCTTGCAAATACTCAAATGTCATGTTTTTTGCTCTTCTCAGTGGCATAGACTGGATGCTTCTCTGTTTTAATAATCAAGTGCTTTGGGGGTGGAATAAGTCTTAAAAGCCTGGATATTTCAATCTAAATAGAATGCAACAGAAATGCTGGGTTTAGATTTAGTCGAATCTAGGAGGGTAGACGTGGATATTCTACAAAAACTTCTGCAGCACAGATAAGCTGCTTAGTAAATTAGAAAAGCAGAAGGCTGAATCAATGGCTTATATGCAAAACCTGGTATCTCTACAGATATAACTTCATCTTCATTGCCTGTAAATGCTTGAGGGGAAGGGAATTCTTAATCATATTTTTGTGCTCCAAATTGAGACCTATGTAAGAGTCAGTCTTTACTGGGACAGCTTGTAAGAAAATGCTGGGGTACAATGATTATGTGACTGCTTTCTTTTGGGTAATTTTGGAGTACAAAGACTTGAAAGATTAACTTGTTTCCAACAGGTAACAAAATAGACTTGGAAAAAGAGAGACATGTTTCAGTGCAAGAAGCAGAAACGTAAGTCACACCAATTATTAATAGAAACAGTCATTGCAGAATTATGCTGGAGTAATAAACTTGTGATGCTGTTAACAACTGGCAGGCATAAACCAGCAGTGTCTAGCTGGCTGTTGCCTTAAGTGTTCTGTTGGTATCTGAGTCCTGGAATGTCTTTACTGGCCAAAGGGTAACTTGAGAGTTGTACACAACTAAAGTCAACATTTGCAGTTTAAATGCATTTCTAGACATGAAATTTTCTTTATTTCATCCTAGTATTTTTCATGAACCATGGCAGTTTTAACCACATAATTCCCTGTTTACATTAAATCAGCATGTTCAGAGATTAACTCTGAACTCGGAATAACCTCTTGTGATCATCTTTTTGCTTCATGTAAAGTGGCTTAGAAAGATTAAGTCCTTCAGTATAATGAAGTTCTGTATCTGCATTCCTACAGGTATGCTGAATCTGTTGGAGCAAAACATTATCATACTTCAGCTAAACAGAACAAAGGAATTGAAGAACTGTTTCTTGACCTTTGTAAAAGTAGGTGTTATCTAGTTTGGTAACGAGCTCATTCACAAAATGCTCAAGGCTTCAGAATGCTTAAAACCATATAGAAAAGCCTTCATGTGAACTGAGAACTGACTTAATCTGAATCTACTTCAAGCCACCTGTGTACTGTAACAGCTATTGAAGCTTGATGTATGGATGTTTTCAATATGGCAAATTCATGCTGTACTTCAAAAATGTATTTTTGACACTTTGGAGCACTGACTGCTCTTGTACTCATCATGCTTATATAGTAACTTCAAATCAAACTTCATGTGACTGGTCTCACTACTGCCCGCTTCAAACACTGTTTCAATCTCTTTCAAAAATCTTTGCAAATGTCAGTTACAAATCATAAACTTGGAGTCGTAATTATGCAAATTTTACACAGCAGTCTAAGAAAATGGTGAAGATCATGGAATGTAGGTTAAAAATGTAACACAGGGAACTCCCTACGATACAATAATTTAAGCAAAACTTCACCTGCATGTCTGAAGAGTAGGCTGGTGGGTTTTTTTAGGGGAGGTAGTGTGTGGAGTTTCTTGTTTGTTTTATTTTTTTAACAGAATGTTCTTGATACGGGTAGGTAAATCTAGCTTTTGAAATCACTAACTCCAGAACGTATGAGCATCTAAGGTCTCCCTTAGTCAACAGGAGCTGCTGGATGTTTGGTGCTTTAGGAAGAAGATTTAAGTATGTTCCTGCAGCTGTGCCATGTGATACCTGAGTGCTCACTTCAGCATAATGAATAGGAGAACCAGTCTTGCTGAACTTTGTGCATATAACTCAGATTAAGATCTCAGTCTTGCATAAAAATGCAGTGGAATGTCATCTAATATATTTCTTCCTTTACAGGAATGATAGAAACGGCTCAAGTGGATGAAAGAGCAAGAGGCAATGGTTCCAGTCAGTCAGGAACAGCAAGGCGAGGTGTCCAGATCATTGATGATGAGCCACAAGTACAGAGCAGTGGAGGGTGCTGTTCTTCTGGATAATTATAAAACTGTGCATCACTGCCTTCTTAATATGAAGACTGCCATATTCCAAGTCACACATTCTTTACCAATGGAGTAATAGAATTAACAGTATTTAAAAATAATCACATGTAACAGTGCAGAGACCTTAAGTGCTAAACTAGTGGCGTCTGTGACCAGAGAATTGGCATTTTCTACAGTGGTTAACAAAGCAATTACCAATGGCCTTTTTACATATTTTTCTTTAATGGGGAATAATATGCATGTAGAAAACACCTACTTAAAGGCTTCATTTATATTCTTTTAAATCAGATCATTATTTAATAACTTATATACATTGTTGTTGGAATGGTATATGTTTTTGCAGCTCTTTGTATTTTGTGGTAGATTGAATTGTATCACTTCTAAAATGCAAATTGATTTTTTTTTTAAATTAGCAGATATCTGAAGTAATATTTTTGCAGGGCCTCTACAAGCCTATAACTCAACTACTTTGATATATTCTGTTCATCCTGTATGCCAAGCTGGTAAAATACATTGTAAATTACATACTAAATATTTTATCTGCTTTTACAATTGCAGGTGCAGAAATATGTACATCAGTCTTGTCAGTGATTGTGAAGTGAATAAGTCAGTGAAAGATGCAGGCTTTTCATGTGTACTGTTAAATTGCTCATTCTATTCCCCCTAACCTGAAACCATCTTTTTTTGGGTACATTCATAGCTACAGCATTTTTTAAAGTCTTTTCTGGCAAGCAGCAGTATTTAGAGTACATCCTTAGTGGGAAGGGAATGCTTCCTTAGACTGCTGTTTAACATGGAGGTGTTTGACTCTGAGCTAGAACAGTTGGCGCATGCATATGTCTTGCCTCTGCAGTTACTTTGGCCTCTCAGAATATCCCCAGAAAGTCAAAACAACCTTGTCTATCTGGTAGCCAGTAAACCAGATGCATGGAAACTCTTAAGCTGCCCCAAGACAGCATTATAAATTAAGTGTAATTTTTTCCCCCTGTATTGCAGGGCTTGAGTGAACAAATGAATTGGCATTAACTAGAACTGCTTCTCATTTGGAGTGATTAAGTGGAAGAGACAAAGCTTAACAGATGTATTTGTAACTTGGGTGATACTAGACAGAACTGAACTTAATCCTGACTTGCTCTTTCTCTTGTAAAGTGTTTTGAAGCGCACTTAGGTTTTGGGAGGAGGGTTTTCAGAAATGAAGTGTATAAACTACTATCACAAAGGAATACAAATGGTGGTAGCTGAAACTTCAAACTGTTTTGTGCTCTGACTTTTTTTTACTTAAGTTGTCATGCTTGGAAAAACAGTAAAGGTGATGTCTCTGACAAAATAGAATATTCCTTGGCCTTCCTTTTTCTGAAGGGTAGAATTAGTATTGCATATGAATGCATTGAATGGTGTGGGTATGTTCTGATGCACAAAAGAAGTAGTGGTAAATAATCAGTCTGACATGTAAGAGAAGTGTGCTGTCTTCAATCTGATTTTTATTTTCTCTGAAACAAGAGATCGCTTTGATACAGACTGGTCCTGGTGTACGCTTTCCCTTTCTGCCTGAACTGTGGTGTAGATACTTTCCCTTAAGCTACCATTGCCATGCTCTTCTGACATGGTTGTATGCATGATGGACAAAGGTGATCTGTTCATGCCAGTGAAGATAGTTTGTCTGCACAGAGCTTTGATGTGAATCTAAAATTCATTATTATATGTATATGTAGCAAAACCATTAAGTTAACACTTTCATACTATATCTAACTTAACTGTGAGCCTTGCCAAAGTTGAAAAACAGGTCAGTTTGATCTGAAACCAGTGCCTTCAAATCCATACATTTAGATGAAAGTCAGTCTGGTAAGTCATACAATATTGATATGAGGAGTGAAATTGGCAAGGCTATGTTCAAGCCTGGAATCTCCTCATAATAGGAGTTGCAGATTTTTGGATTCAAACATAATTTTCTGTGGAGATGGGGAAAAAAAACTCCATAACCAAACAACCCAACATCAACTAGACTTGAAAAGCAGATGATGTATAAGGACTTACCTATACCAGAGCATGTGTGTCCTCTCCAGAACAGAGCTTTCTCCACTTCATTGAAATGGGTCGGTGCAGTTCTGGCCTGGAAATTAATACTAGGTGTTTACCCAAGAGAATCTTATGTTTGACTACTTTGAAATAGAAGCAGCTGTAGAATATATCTTTCTGCCTGCAGCTGAATAGTTTTTCTTTAGTGTTTTCTAAGGTAGGGTCATTCTCTGTGACTTCTGTCAATTACGAAACTAACAAAGCCATGTTGGTACCAACTCTTTAAGTCTCTTGCTACTGAAAACTTTGGGGGTGGTGGTAAGGAAGCTGATGGTTTTGTACGATTAAAAAAGCTTCTGGTTCCTATTAGCAAAATAATTTTAAAAATAAATTCTCAGAAGTTACTTTTCTTAATGAAGCTACATCATGAAAAATACTCTCTGGAAACCTTCCTGGCTAAGCTGCGGTTTGATTGGAACTGATTTATGGAACTTAAAACCTGTGCTTAGCAGGGTATCATATTACTTTACAAAAGAAGTATAGCTTCATGAAGTCAGGGAAGTTGGTTTCCAAGACAAGTAAAAACATTATGGATTGTTTAGACTGATTAATTTGGGAGTTCAGCTATTCATTGTTAGTGGACTAAATGTAACTGTTCCAGGAAAAAGCATTTTTTTTGAAGAATAGATCTAGAGTGTTCTTTGCATTAAATATATAGGAAAGCACTGATAGCTTGGTTTTCCATATTTGAGCAGGATCTTACTTGGATAACCTGGTATTACTACTATGTGGCTTGGTTTTCAAGAGTCTTGCATTTGCTGGAATCTTATCTAGACTGCCTGGTTTGTATGTCTTAAGGAAAATTGGGGTTTTTTTGTTGCTAAAAAAGCTATTTTTCTTCCTTCTGAGAAGAGTGCAAGAGAACGACATCTGTCTCTAGAAAGTGCCTCTGTTGTGGGATAGATAATACCAGCCAGATGCCTGCTACAGCATTTAAGTCAACACTGAGCACACTTCCTCAGAGTAAATCTTGACAAACACTAATAAGTTAGACCTTTTTCTATTATAGTATATAAGTACAAATACCCTTCTGAAACAACATTTAAGTACTTGCTTACAGTCTTGATGCTGCTGCTATGAATACTTGAGCTACCTGTGAAACTTTATAACTTGCTGAAATAAAATCTAACAAACCACTGTCCAAAAACTTTAATGCAGCTGTGTTTATCTCTATTAGGAGTTACTTATGGACACTGTCTTATTGCACTTAGACTACAGTTCAGGAGTTAAAGACCAGATAGACTGATTCAGACAAGGAAACTCCAATAAATTCAGATGTGTAAGTAGCTGTAAAGGTTGGGGATGATGACTTCATCTGGTTTGCAGTGAACTCACATGGTTCTGAGATGGGGACATCCAGTGTCCCTAGGGACTGCATTGGCTGGTCTCAAGGCAGTTAAGCAATTGAGTGTTGCTTTGATTACACACTTCAGTGTTCACACATTGTGGACAAGCATTCTTGCTTACTACCACATTAAAAAGTATCTATTAGCCCTTTTTTCCTGTGACCTTTATTGTTACAGCTGTTTAACTTGTAGCTCTAACTACAGCTCTTGAAGAAACCTGGTAATTCAATTTCTACTTTAGATTCCAGGCCACATGAAAAAAGCTTTGCAAAAAGGTATGAGGTCATGGAAGGTGGTTGGAGCTCAAATGGGGTTCTGTGGACATGTTTGATGCTGTCAGGAAAAAAAAAAAAACCAGTTTAAAGAAGGTGAGAGGAATCACAGTCCAGTTTGAGGACAAACAGAGGTCAGAAATCTCCACAAGCTGAAAGCAGTTAAGTGCTATGAATGGTAGAGTATGGGAATAAGAGTTTGGGTCAGCCACCTCTCTCTTATTTTTCTGCTTTTTATGGAAGGAAAAGGAGAAGTAAAAAGAAAAAAGCAAGTAGGAAAAACTGAAGGTGCTGGTAGTGTGCTGCTGAGTGAGATGCTGAGTTAACCATTTCTTGGTGGAACTGTGTCCTTGGTTAAGCAGAGACAGACTTAACTTTCTAGCTAGCAAGAGGCTGTGTTTTGGATTTATGCTCACAAGAAAGGTGAGAAGGGATGTTTTGTGCTGGTGCCAGGGTCAGGTACTTTCAGCTTCCCTGCTCCCTGCAGACAGGGCTGGGGGAGGGGGTGGGGGGGTTGTGGAGCTGGGAGGGCACAGCCCTAGTTACTAGCCCAGGATTTGTTCTTCAGTTATTAGATTGAGAACCAGAGTGACTAATAATCTACTCCATAACATACACATCATGCCCAGTATATAGGTGAGGACCTTTCCGGAGGATTGGCCCTTTTCCTTTTGGTTCTGAGGCCCT